ATGAATGGGGCAGACAGTGTAATGAAGGAATAAAGTGGACAAATAATAGCAGAAGAATAGAATAGCAGAGATGAGGCAGAGATGGTAAGCTATAATCTTTAATATTCATAGCCTTGATACACTAACAAAGAAACACAGGCAGAGTAGATTAGGAGGCAGGATCCATTGAGATGTTTGAATAGGAAATACACTCAACCTGAAAGAGTGTTAATAAACTGAGAATCAAAGATGAGAAAACAATGCTATACATGACAGGAAACCAGAGACAACTTGTCCAGCAGCCACAGATAGGTTGGAAAGTTATGACACTTTTGTGCAGTGTGGGAACTACACAACTGGAAGGAAGGGAAACCTTTGTGGCTTCAGCAAGTAAAGGAGTACAGCTCAAGATTAAGCTCAGGGATAAAAAGGTTCACCAACACTCAGATATATAACAGGTTGACCACCTTAGTCTAAAAACTAAAGGAGCTAATGGGACCCAAAATACACAAAGCATCCTGAGAAGGGGAAACCTGAGGAACTGCCTAAAAAAGGAAGGCAGACGACATTGATAAAAGTGTATCAGAATTTAAAAGTCACAGAAGTCTTATCACTCTTTTTAGTTTTATTATATTTTGTTCTGGTCTGTCTACTCATGAGATTTGAGGGCACAGACAGCTAACCCAAAAATAACAGGTTAAACTACTTACTATCCTTAATTTCCTATTAATTGAAACTGAAACCCTGTATTACTTACATTGTCTTACTATGACTGATCTTATTTAAGCTGGTTTGTTAGACCACTATTTTGCCTTGACTGATTTTATTTGAATTTGGTATGTTTGATAGTATCAAGTCTAAGAGTAGAGGCAACTACTCTGAAGATGACAAGATGTAAAAGATATCCATTCCAGTTTTATTAACTGCTTTCAAGTCCTACAATGTCTTCAAAGTTGTGATTTTATAAAAATAGCTAAATAATGCTATGCTTAACTATATAATACCTGATGATGTGTACAATTCTATTGAAAATAACAAGAGAAAGCATAGTGACTACTGTAGATTACCTAATATTGTAGTCTTATATGTCTTTTTCATTTCATATTTTTCTAGGAATTTGTTTTAATCTGTTTTTCCCTAAAATACAGAAAGGATAGATACACATGTAGAGATTCACACATGGGAAGAATTTCTAAACTATTTACAGGAACAGATTATATTACACATGATGTAATGAACAGATACTCTAAAGAAGAGACACTAAGAAACCCAATGCTAATTCTGTAGTATTATGATATAAAACCTAGCAATACTATCATTCACTGTTCAGAGTGATATTAGTCTAGTTTCTTATGTTCAATTTCAGCATAGATAAAGAGAGCTACTTTGAAGAGAATGAGAGACTTTATGGTAGTCATTATTGACTTCCCCAAAATCAGGTCTTAAAGACCTAAAAAGCCTTCATCATCCTGTAATGATTTGATTAGTTCTATAATGTTCAGTATACATTCAATGTGTGTGAAGATGGGGACAACTATTTGGAAGAAAATCAGAGACAATAAGATAGACAGTGAAGGTCTCCAGTGGACTTGCTTTGAAACGTGTTTCTTTAAATTGTTTCCTTATGAACTGTTTTGTTCATTTTGACATGTTTAATATTACCCTCTTTAAGATAAAAAACAAGTGTGTAGGACTGATAACCATATTACTAAGTTTTTATTGGATCATTGAGCAGAACTGTTTGCAGTGTCATTATTTGAATATCACTTTGTATGCTTTAATTTTGTAACTTGAACAACTATTTCTAAGATAACAATATGTAATTTATCAACTAGTGACTTCTTACTGTTTATTTTTCTGAAATTCTGTATTATTTCTATCCTTTTTTTCTGTTTTTTCCTCTTTAATTAAAAAAAGAAAAAACTGCATTACTTATTAAATCTAACTGAGGGTAGGACATTCTAATATATATATATATTTTGTCTTTTTCCTTTTTATCGGTACCAGGGATCGAACTCAGGACTGCCTGCTTTGCAAGGCAGGCGCTTATGCTGTTGAGCTAAATCCCCAGCCCCAGACATTCTAATTTTTTAATGAAACTTTTTGAGTATTTTTAAAGATCACCATTTGAACACAACAAAATAAAGATAAATGTAGAATTAAAACTTTTTCAGGAAATAAAAGTACAGAAGGCTATATCTTTATACTTTATTAGAAGTAGTCATTCAAAGCAAAACCAAAGTGTCAGACAAAGGCTGCATTAGGCAAGGTGACACACACCTGTAATCAGGAGATTTAGGCAGAAAGATTCCCATGAGTTCAAGGCCAGTACTAAATAGTTAATTTATATAAATGCTATTCACTAGCACATGCAAAAGTGTACTACCTAATTTGCAATTAGGAAGAGAATAGCACATTTCATGTATTTCTCATCTTGGTTTCAGCTTAAATATCATCCTTATATATGATTTTGTCTCGATATTCCTCCCAAAGTCTCATGTAGTTATAGTTGGGGCTTTGCAGAGGTGGCTGGATCAAGGATGTGATGCTAGGCTAGGTTAAGAGTACACAGTTACTAAATTAGTCTACTGATTGCTTTGGCATAGTTCAGGGTATGGATAATGGGAATCCCTACCTCGGAGTGAGTGCTATTTGCCCTAAGGATAGGCAGTCTAGATAGAATATAAAGAACAGTTATAGAGGATTGCTCTGGTCACTTGCTGCTTCACTACGTTGTTCCTTACCACCTTCTGCTCACCATGACATTGTTTCTCCTGTGTGATGCCCCTCTGTCTGCCAGGCCACCCTTTACACCTTACAAGCAGTCAACTATGAACAGAAACCTCTGCCAACAAGTGAGCCAGAGTGAAGCTTTTCTCTTTATCTTTGGGTGATAGGTATTGTGCTGTAGCAACAGGAAAAGCAACTAAGACAACCCTTTTCTGAAATAAAAATATCACAGTTTCTTCCAAAAAATCTTGTATTTATCATGAACCGTATTTATTGGTTCATAACACTCCTCTCCAAACTTTATAAGGTCTAAGCATTACATTCTATTTTTCAACCTTTTTTTTTTTTTTTTTTTTTTAAGCTAAGAGTCTCACTATGTAGTTCAGGCTGGCCTTGAACTCATGGGAATCTTTCTGCCTAAATCTCCTGATTACAGGTGTGTATCACCTTGCCTAATGCAGCCTTTGTCTGACACAAGTTCTGGAACAAGGTAAAAATCTATAGTTTTTTGATAAACGAGAAAGAATCAGCATCTTACTAAAATCCCCAAGAAACTGGCATTATTTTGATGGTAGGTTTCATGAACTGAAACCATTAAACCTGTTATATTAAAATAATCAAATGTTAACTCCAGAATTTCTGAATGTACTTTGTATAGCAATCATTTACTGAGCATTTATTAGTGCCAGCCATTATGCTAAACACTTTAAAAGTCTTAATACCTTTAATTTTCATTACCCTCTGTAGGATTGGTGCAATGATTCCCATTATACAGAGTCCAGATAATGTCTGATGAGGGCAATTTTCACGAGGATTATATAGCAAATAAATGGCAGACCCTCGATTTTAAGCCAGCTGAATGACCACTTAATGATTATTCTCTGTAATACAATAATTGCTAACTGTAAGCCTGTCATAATGCTGGAATGTCATGTCTTTTTAGAAATAACTTATTGAATTCAAAGTAGGATTCTTGATCAAAACAGAGTATTAAAGAAACAGAGATCTAGGTGTTCAATGGTTAGTGCAGTGTTTCCAACTTTCAGTTGTTTAACTAGGAAATCAGTTAAAAATATTAAGTAGAATCTGAAGCTAAACAGGTTCTCTGAAAGTTAGATAAAAGGTAATTTCTCTGAATTTATATATCAAAGATTCTCAGCTCAGTTTTAATACCAATTGTTATTTGCTATTTCACTTTTATTTTAATTTTCAAGAAAAACCAAAACAAAGAAATAGTCTCAAGAGAATTCTGAAAAGCTTTTAAAACTCTCCTTGAGTTTAACTCAAATATATATTGGCTTAACTTTCTATTGTGTAGACAATTTCTTATAAAGCTTAGTTTTCCCTTTTTCATATGGTTTGGCATGATATGAGATGGTAGGATGTGGATAATGAGAAGCCTTCCATTAAAAATGACAAGAGTAAGGCTGGGGATGCAGCTCGACAGCACAGCACCTGCCTGCTGCCTGACACATGAGTTCATAGCTTCCAGTATTGGTACAAAATTAAATAAATAAATAAATAAATAGACAGCTGGGTGTGGGCTGCACATCTGTAATCCTAGCACTTGGGCTGAGGCAAGATTTCCTAGAATTTAAGGCCAGTCTGGGTTACATAGTAAATTCAAGGCCAGCCTGGACTACAGAGCAACACCTTGTCTCTCAAAAAACAAAACAAACAAACAAACAAACAAAAAAAAAGTTTATTGGTGCATGCCCAGTCCCAGCATTTGTGTGACCGACTGAGGCATGATTTCAAGGCCAGCCTGGGTTATACACTGAGTTCAAAGTCAGCCTGAACTACACAGTGAGAATCTGTCTCCAAAAAAAAAAAAAAATGATTAAAATAAAAATCTCAAATTGGCATTAAAAGAACTTCTCTTTTTTTTTTTAGGGCAGAGATTTATTGATGAGCTTGCGATGGGGGAAGTAGGGCAGTGGAAGTACAAGGCCCACCACTTGTCCAGGGGACCTCGATTCGGTATGTATTTCACCTCGCAGACATCAGGTATGAGGCGCTTCTCGGCCATCATGTCTTCAAATTCATCTGCATTGAACTTGGTGAAGCCTCACTTCTTGGAGGTGTGAATCTTTGGGCACCCAGGAAACTTGAACTTAGGCCTGCGCAGGGCCTCGATTACATGCTGCAGCTTAGTAGGGAGAGACATGATGAACTGTCCAATGTGAACCCTTGCCACTGTGCCCTGGGGCTTCCCCAAACCACCCGGCATGCCAGTATGGAGCCTCGATTGTGGGTGGCAGATGTTCAGATACGTGAACATCCATTGGAAGCAGTGTCTCCAAGGTCCCTTGAAGCAGCCCATGTAAGTAACAGGCTGCATACACTACTGAAGAGGTTGCTGTCTGCAGCCACTGCACACTGGGCACCCACCAGCAAAGGCGCCCAGTCAGCTTAATTGACTGCAGTAAGAACCTCTTTTCTTCACAAGCAGTTGATAGGAAACATCACCTTGTAGATTAAAAGAATTATTATAAAAACACCTAATCATATTATAGAAATAACTCATTGAGTTCAAAGTAGGACTTTTGATCAAAATAGAGTATTAAGGAAATAGAGAAATTTGAATTAGATATAAAATTCTCTTTATTCTTTGAATTTCTAAATTAGTTTGGGTATTACTACAGCTATCTAGAGAAGAATCCAAAATATGCCAATATCAAATAAAGATTTAAAATTCAGTATTTCCTGTCTTATGATGAGTTATGGATTTCAGAAATCAAAAATAATGTTAGCTGGAAAAAACTAAATACTGTAGCGATAAAAGCAAGTTTTAAAAAAACTAAAGAACTGATTACTAAATAATTTCATATTGTCTTGAAAGTTAAAGTGGGTTCCTCAAACAAATTATATATTTTAGCACACAAAAGTGAAAAAGGTTATCTTTTTTTTTTGTCTTTTTTGTTATCGGTACCAGGGATCGAACTCACGACTGCCTGCTTGCAAGGCAGGCGCTTATGCCGCTGAGCTAAATTCCCAGTCCCAAAAAAGGTTATCTTTAATAGAGTCAAATATTTAACATGACTTTATTCAAAATCATATTAAAGCCGGGTCTAGTGGCACATTCCTATAATCCCAATATTTGAGATGAGGCAGGAGAACCATTTGCAAGTTCGAGACCAGCTGGGGCTGAAGGCAAACCTGAACTACATAGTGAGACCCTGTCTCAAAAAGACAAAAAAAAAAAAAAATCATAAATTAAAAATAATTTTCACAGATCATCAGTAAAACAAGACTTGTGATCCTCCAAGTATAGCCGTCCAGAAAGCTAGGGTTACAGACATGTGCCACTTTGCCTAGCTCAAAGACACTCTTTTTAATGTGTGATTCTTGTATTTAAAAATGAAATCAGAAGAATCTCATGATTTCTGAATGTACCTTATATTTTTGGTCCTCTGTACTAAACTAGCAATTACATCATAAAAAAGAATGATAGCCTTTCATAAATCATAAAAAAGATATTTAATAATCAGTTCTTTGGTTTCTTTTAAACTTGCTTTTATCACTATAGTATTTAGTTTTTCCAGCTAACATTATTTTTGATTTCTGAAATCCACTGACTCATAACATGATAGCCAAAATCTTTAGTAATCTTGTGACACCCAGAAAAATATAAACCAAATGTACTGTTCACGATTGTATAATATCAACCTTTTATCCAACCTCAAAGGCAATACTGAGTAACTTCTTGAAGTCTCTGCAACTATCATAAATGGATTGAGATTAATGAAATAAAAGAAGAAGGAGTTATTGGAAGAAGTTGTCCCCAAAACTTTCCCTTACTCTCTATAGTTTTTTCACTTGATTTTTGGAAGTATTTATGCACAATTATATTCTAGACAAGAGTCTCATCTGAGATAGTATAAAGGTAATTAAGAACAAAACAGTATGTGGATAGAGTGAAACCTGTCAAGAAAAGATTATCTCTGTAGTAAAAATTAGCTAACTCCTTGTGTTTAAAACATTATTAGTGGGACTGGGGATTTAGCTCAGCAGCATAAGTGCCTGCCTTGCAAGCAGGCACTTGTGAGTTCGATCCCCTGTACCAATGATTAAAAAACAAAACAAAACAAAAAAACCCTCAAAACATTATTAGCCCAAGCTATAAATAATCCCTTTAAAAAATCACATTTACTATATATTTTTGAGCTCCTGCCATGCTGGACACTGTACAGCAAATGTGTGCTTTTTTTAGTAGGATTAGGTTCACTCATTTTTCTGAAGAAGCTTGTCTGACTAAAACCCTCAAGGTATGCTCTGTGAGGGGAAAGTTCATGTTTGTCTTCTTGGCTACATTCTAGCACCTAGCCCAATGTAAGCATTTCAATTTGTTAAATAAATACATGCCTATGGATTTCACAAAGCTTTTATTCTATTAATTTTGACAATCAGATTTCATTACATACTAAAAATAGTACCATATTTACGCACAAATAAATTAATTTTTCCAGTAAGAGCTAATTTCCTTTTAAGAATGTTTCCCACATATTCACAGTACATAACATCACAAAACACCCATATTTGCCCTACATGTCTCTGAATTGTAGCGTTACAAGATGGAAGTTCATTGTGCTTGATAATGTGATTAAGTTGAACCCAAATGTCTTCCAAAGTTTGGTTGTTACATACACTGTGTTCTATTATCCATCGTGCTCTATAAAGTGAGTGCAAATTTAGTGTCTTTAAAATATCTTGCAGTTTTTTAGGCAAAGGAGAAATATTTTCAGTACAATTAGTGCTGACAAATGAAATACTCCAAGACCTCCTGCTGTGCTGTTTTCCTTTTTCTAATTTTTTATCCAGATTTCCGGAGGCTGTCAGTTCATTCAGTTTGTATGACTGGATTAAGTGCTGCTTTTCCAAATGAGGTTGAAACTCCAAGAGATCTACTGTGGAATCATAGCTCTGTGATTTAATACTATGTTCTGAAATAGTTAAGTGCTGTTTTACATCTTCGGCTACCTTTTCAGAAATTACAGGTGGTGATCTTTTAGGTTTAACTGGAAGTTTGGATCCATCATGTGGAAACCAAGGAATAAATCTTGATGGTGGACGAGTAGGAAAGTCTTGAATTGCCTTTTCTGCAATTTTCGGTAGTTGTGTGGGATCACTCTCATATGGTCGATAATGTAATATTACTTCTGTAGTCATTCTGCAGTAATCCAGTTACTCTTAATGAAGAGAAAACTTCTTAAAGTCTTCAGAGCTAGAATGTAACTTACTATTACAAGATTGTCTGTCTTGTCAAATCAGAGGAAACAGGACCTAAAGTGGAAGTATTAAAGAATAAGATATGGTAGGGATAGCCTCCATACAAATAGGTAGGGAGAAAAGGAAAAATCAAAACCAATCCCAATATGGTATTTTAACAAAATGTTATTGGTAAAGGTGAATGCAATACACAAACTTGAAAATTCTTTCTTACCAAAATAAGAGACTTAATTACCTATTAAGATTATTCCTGCCTAAAATTAATAGAAAACATGTTTGACTCAACTAGATATAAAGGACTTGGAGGTAGTAATATTAACATGTTAACTGGTAATAATCCTAAAACTATTCCTGAATAATAAATCAATGATTCATATAAATACTGGATTCATATAATATTTAAAACGTTGAGACATCTGAACTGAGGTCAATGATAACAGTAATTTTTAATTTATACTAGAGAAAATTAATTATTTTACATTTTAAAATGTTACAAAATCCATCAGACAAATATATATGTGTGTGTATATATATATATATATTGTTAGACTACTTAATGATTAGCCAGGTATGGTGGTACCCACCTGTCATCCCAGCACTTGGGAGGCTGAGACATAACTGTCATGAGTCTTAGGCCATCCTGGGCTTGCTACATACGTGAGTTCAAAGATAACATGCTCTACCTATTGACGAACTGTCTCAAAAATAAATAAATAAAAAAGAATACTTAATGATTATTTCTCATCTTCAGGGGTAAACAAAAATAATTTGAATATGGTTTTAACCTTACATTTTAACTAGGTCAGTTGCTGATTTTATGACAGACTTCTAGGAATAATGTTATGCAGTAATGAGAACCAGTTACCACAGTTCCTGGATTCCAATGTAGAACAAGAGCAAGAAGTTTATACTCTTCTTCTCTCAGAACACAGCAGTTCTCAAGTTGCCTTGAATGAAGCCATTGACAGTAAGTTTCTGTACCACTCAGTTACAAGAATGGAGCCTTCCAGGACCTACAAGTTAGGCTTCCTAACCAGACCCAAAGCCACAAAAGGCAGAAAGTACTCTTTCATACCCAAATTATTATAGAAAAAAAAAAAAAAAAGAGGTTGAGTTCTCCCCACAAAATTCATTAAACAATTAATGAGGATTCTCCATTGCTAGGATGACCATGAGTTGGAATTCCTGTCATGTACCACATCTGTACATGACTGGGAGTCTTAATATCCATAATTCTTAATGTAACTATGCGATAATATTCTTTCAAGAATAAATTCTTTTTTTCCTTCCTTCTTCGTTACTCTTTCACGTTGGGTTTTTTTTGTTTTTTGTTTTTTGTTTTTTTTGGTACTGGGGATTGAACTCACAACCACACACTTACAAGGCAGGCACTTATGCTGCTAAACTAAATCCCCAGCCCTGCTCCTTTATACTGTAAGATAGGTCTCTGGGAAGTCTTTCATAGGTTGAATTTATGAGATGTTACACTGAGACTAGTGAAGTTGTAAGAGCTCTTTTTAAACAAAAGTTTCTCTTTTCAAGAGGAACAAAACAATATCTTAACATTTTAGATACTAATTTTTTGTCTTTTTCCTTTTTATCTGTACCGGGGATCGACTGCCTGCTTGCAACGCAGGCGCTTATGCCACTGATGTAATTTACTATGCCACTGAGCTAAATCCCCAGCCCCTAGATACTAATATTTAAGAAAGTAAATTTAACCACGGAATTGATATCCCATACCATTAAAATTAAAACTTGTAAAATTCTTGATTAAATAGAACCATGGGAAAAATATCAACAGAGACTTAATAAAGCTCAAACTATCAATGAAATTGAAAGGGTCTGTCCTTTTAGTTTGCTTCAATACAGTTCCTATTTTCACTGTGTCTTGTTTTTAAAAATGAAGAGTATCAGAAAAATAAAAACTCCAGATGGCAAGTAGTCTCCATGTTACTAGAATTTAACTGTGTTTAACAGTGTACAATTTATATAAAACGACAACTAGCAACCAATAGGACCAATACAACTGTTTGAAATTCCCATCAAAGTAGTCAGTAAGATAACGGTCACTGAAAACGCTATTTCATTCATGAGGCAACACACCGTCTTGGAAAAATGGAGACAGGCCTTGTTTTGAAGCACTGCTTCCATCACTCCTTGCTAGCTACATGATCTCTAGAAAATTTGCTTAAACTCTGAGACATAAGCAATATATAGTCCACATACTTCAAGCCAAGCATGGTGATTTATCCCTGCAATCCCAGCACTCAGGATGAGGCAGAAAGACTACTGGAGTTCAAGGCAGGCCTGAACTATACAGAGAGACCTTGTCTCAAAAACACCAAGAAAACAAAATAACCGAACAAAAACAAATGGAACCGGCGAACTGTACAGTGTCTACATTAGAGGGGTTGAAGAAGAAATGAGAATTGTCTTTAAATGGGTGCCACAAGGAAGCGCAATTCATATGCATAGAGAACTAGCGAGAGAACGAGCGCATTATTAACAACACAGTAGAACACTGAGAAAATCAAAAGTGCATTTGTTGTAGAAGACATGATATAAATTTTAAAAATGAAACAAAAGGTTTCAGGAAAATCTGTTTTGCAAGTTTTCCCTAGGCAATCAAACTAATTCAAAATTGTGGTGCACAAAAAATGAAAACCGACAAGAGATTTTGGACATACTGTATTTCCTACATGCACAGTGCTTTGAAATAAACTGCAAAAAGTTCTAATAAATTTGTTAGATACTGTCTGTAGTACCATGTACTGTTAAATCATTGACATTATCTTGCAATACTAATATTACAGATAAAACTGATGCCTTGTAGTTTGGTCTGTGCCACGTTAAAAGCAAGAAAAAAGGCAAAAACCCCCACTTTAAATTCGATGTAATTTACTACAGATTACAGACATCTCCTAAACCGGGCCAGGACGTCTGGTTTTGTAGCTAAAACCTGGTGATTGCAGTAGCACAAATCAGACTTACCAGGTATCTCTGTCAATCTAATAGGTTTTTGAATCTACAAACCAGAAGCGTGAAACCGGTTCGGCCCTTGCCAAAAGCAAAGTGGGCGTCCGCGGACAGTGCTTAAGAACGACAATACCTACGTGCTGGGGGACAAGTTTATGCGGCAAAAACTTCGAGAAATAGTGAGACAAGGGAGAAAGCAGAAAAAGGGGAAGCAAGTTCGCAAAAGCTTACCTTTCAGCGCCAGCAGGTGCTCCTGCTTGGGGGGATTCACTTCCATTTTGACCCACACGCTAGACCCGCTGCGTACGGGACCTTGGGAGGTTCAAGCCGACCCGGAAGGAAACCACAATGAGCGTCTGGGAAGACCCGGGGTCAAAAACACTCCCAACTTCTTTCTGCTGGCGATAATTTAAATTCTCTTTTTACTACCTTAAATTATTTTTTACAGGCCCAACAGCTTGTTTTCACCAAAGCCATCTCTTTTCGTTTAAAGACCTATGCCTAGGCCTATCCATCTCCAATCACACATCAAGATTTAAAAATGTCACTCTCAGGCCTCGCAGATATCTACAATGCTAGAGTTTTAAATAAAAAATTATATATGTATATACATATATATACATACACATATTAAAATGTATGAAAAGGGAAGTGGCGTGTTGGGATTTTTAATTTACCAAAAATCGCATTGCATGCAGGGACATGTAGTTCCCCAGTCCCAGCTCGGATTGGTATCTAAGTGTCCATGCGCAAAAATGTGCAGCCCAACAGCCAATGGCCGGGAAGAGGCGGCAGAAGGCAGAGAGAGGCGCCCCAGGTCGAACAGCGCCTGTGCACTAGGGGCGGGCGCAGAGGCTTGTGGGTAAGTGGCTGCCCTACCCGCCTGTCAGTTGGAGGTTCTGAGGGTTGTCTGCGGTGCAGCTCCTCCCAGGATGGCTACTCTGGTTGTAAACAAGCCTGGAGCGGGGCTAGACAGTGGGCGACAGGGCACCCGGGGAACGGCTGTGGTGAAGGTGAGGGATCTTGCGTGCTCCGTTCTCCATCGTCAGCCTCCTTTCGGTTCATCCTGCAGACCTGCATCCTTTCGGTTCATCCTGCATCGCTGCGGCCCAGGTTCCTTGGACGTGGACGGGATGCGCGGTATCGGGGCTGTACTTGGCCTTGCAATTCTTGCCTTCCCCTCACGTTCTTTATCTCATTGGTTTGAAATTGCCTAGTCGGCTCACGCCAGATGTTAACATCGACAACGGGTCATTTGTGAAAAGGCCCCTGTGGGCCTGAAGGAGTTACTCCCAAGTGCTCTGCTTTTAGTTAAGCTAAACAGAAATTTTTTTTCCTTTCTCACCCTTCTCTTTTTGAGACAGGATTTCACTATGAAATTTAGACTGGCCTTGAACTCACTTTGTAGCCAGATTGGTATCGAACTGGCAGCTATCCTCCTGCCTCAGCCTCGCGAGTGCTGGGATTACAAGTGTGAGCCACCACATGTGGCTCGATTAGCATTTTAAAATATTAAATTGAGCTATTATTATTCCCCAGGAGCTACTTGTGTGTTTTAGTTTGTCAGTGTTTACTTACAAGATAGATACTAATTACCAATTTATTTGGAAGGAAAGTTTTAGATTAACATAGTATTGACAAAAGCACAGGGTTGACTGACTCTAAAGTCTGAGTTTTTCACTTTTGCATTACTTCTGTGGTAATAGGAATATTAGTCCTCCACTCTTGGTAGTACAGTTTCACAAGTTTTAAGAAGTCTCTCACCTGCAAAATAGGCTCTAATGCTAGGATGCATAAAATTGTCTGTTTGGAAATTTTGAGATTCTACTACATATATATTGTCCAAAATGAATTTATTAAAAAAGTCAATTGAAACAGGTAAAACATACTGTGGCTTTCATTATAATATGGAAAAATATGAAAAGAAACATTTCAGTGGTTCATAAACTTCAAGATCATCTGTATACCAACAGGTTGGTAATTCTCATTCATGGCAACATATTAGGAAAATTGAGGACTTTGTAAAAACTATTAGTACGCTCTATGTTGAGATCAGTGTTTTTTTTTTTTTTTTTAGTTCTTAGAAATCATTTTAAAGTGCAATCCCAATTCAGAACAACTGAATCAAATAATTCTGGTTCTTCCAATGTCATGAATAATAGATATTTATGACTTTTCACCTGAAGTTGTTTTGTTCGTTTGTTTTATTTTGTTTTTAGAGACAGGGTTTCGCCGTGCAGTTCAGGCTGGCCTTGAACTCCAACGCACTTTGTAGCCCCGGCTGGCCTCAAACTTGGTGCAATCCTGCCTCAGCTTCCTGAACTCCTAAAGTTGGTTTATGTGACTACAAATGAGATATTTATATCGATGGCTCAGTATCAATCAGTGTTGGTAGTTGAATCAATTGACCTTTTGTGCGTATATATTTTATTTTATTTATTTATTTACTTATTTATTTAGTGGTGCTGGGAATTGAATATAGGGCATTGCACAACCTAAGCAAGTGATCTATCACTACGCTACATCCATCTTTGTATATATTTTTACAAATTTTTATCTTAGTATATCGTAGTTCTTTTTATGTCTGTCCCCTTCATCTCCTTCCCCTCCCCATTCCTTCATTGACTTTTGTATAGTAATGAAGTTATTTTGAAGGTATTGGTATAGCTGAAGAGGGCTGAGGATATAACTCAGCAGTACAGTGCCTGTCTGCTCTACCTGAGCATCCGTCTTTATTAGGCATATTGAATAGTTGAGATTTTAATTTTTGAATTGTGCTTTTGCTAAGTGGAAAATATCTACATATTATTTATGAACTAGAAATTTCACACCATAATTGTATTATTGCCATTAGTATTTTTGCTACCGTTTATTTTATCATCTCAAAAGTATACCAAAGCCCGACGTAACTCCAATTTTGGGGTTTTTGTTTGTTAGTTTGTTTGTTTCTTGAGACAGGGTTCAGGCTGGCCTTGAATTCATGGTGTAGCCCAGCTGGTCTCCATCTCACAGGAATTCTTTTCTCTCAGCCTCCTAAGTGCTGGGGTTATAGATGTGTGCCACCATGCCCAGCAGTAAGTCTAGTTTGTTAGTGCATAGCATTTGATATAGTAGCCATACACCTTGTTCATTTTCATCTTTAAATACAAAATGTTCCTGAACTATATAGTAAGAATGCTTTCTGAGAATGTGACAAGTATTCTTTGGAAGGTAAAGGTTGAAGTACATAATGCTAGTATTGTGTAAAGTGGCCTCTTTTAAATGAACAAGGTGATCACTAGAGAAAACACAAAAAACTGATACTGTTTGGTAATTAACATAAAAAAAGAAGCACAAAAGGTTTTTTTCCTAGAGAGTCTATTTAAGTGTGACCTAGTTGATGAAAATTTGATTTATACATACATTTTGAAGCTTTTTTGATGATTTGTGACATGTAAAATTTTTTTCCTATCTGGGATTTCATTTTTTATGTTACAATTTCTATTCGTAGGTTTTGCAGGAGAATTTCTTGCTGTATTATATACATGATTTTAGATTTCTGGTTTACTAATCAGCAGACTTTTAATATGGCTTTGTGTATATGTGTGTGTATATCTGTGTGTGTGTGCGTGCGTGCGTGCGTGCGTGCGTGCGTGCGTGTGTGTGTGTGTGTGTGTGTGTTATGGTAGTACTGGTGATTGAACTTGGGGCCTATTGCATGGCAGTGAGGTACATACCTAGCCTTTTAAAAAACTATTGTGAGTCAGAAGCTCATTTAATTCTCTAGACTGGAATCAGACTTGAGATTCTTCTGTTTTAGCCTCCCGAGTAACTGACATTGTAGATGGGCACTACTGCACTTGGGTGATACTTTTTTGGTTTTGTTTTGGTTTTGGGGTTGGTTTGTTTGGAGACAAGGTCTTGCTATGGAGCCCATACTGGCTTACCATGCCTGGCTTGATCTTAAATAGGAGGCACAGGAATTTGACGTACAATAGAATAGTTATTTGTGTTTTTTAGATTGATTAAAGTTGTGAAACACTATAGCTGATTGCTTATTTCAGTCGATTGGTTGTTTGCTTTTACATTATTTGATGGGAATGGATACTAGAAATACTTAAAAATTATTTATAACCTTTTCTTACAAGTTATTTATCATTTAGAAGGACAGCTGTCATCCTCACATTTTATTTATTTATTTATTATGTATTTATTTATTTTTGTGGTACCAGGACTCAAACTGAGGACCTCATGCTTGCCAGACAGGTGCTGTACTGCTGAACTATATTCCTGGCCCAATACCATGTATTTTAGATTTTTATTGAAATTAATGTTAGTTTAATGTCGATAAGGTAGTTGCACAGAAAATGCTTGAGAATGTAGGTAGTTTTATATATTATTAATGATTCAGTTTTTAAAAAATAAATGATACTAATTTACAACATTATCTTTGTCCCTATCACTTCAAGGAGATTTCATTCAGTATGATCATTTTGTCAAGGTCCGTTGGCTGGAATGACAAAAAGTGATTTAAGGTTTTATAACTTAAAAAAATTTTTTTTCACAAAGGAAAAAAGTAACAAGATTAATTCATTATACTCATTATATTAATTCATTCATTTTTTTTTTAAACCCTAAAAAATGCTTGCTTTTAAAACTATTTAAACGCATATGTTTCTGTTTTAAATGCTAGGTTCTGGAATGTGGAGTCTGTGAAGATGTCTTTTCTTTGCAAGGAGACAAAATTCCTCGCCTCCTGCTTTGTGGCCACACAGTGTGTCATGACTGTCTCACTCGCTTGCCTCTTCATGGAAGAGCAATACGTTGCCCATTTGATCGTCAAGTAACAGATCTAGGTAGGAAAATTATTTGTATGAATTTAAGATTGAAAATTATCATTGTGACATTTGAAATATTTGCTTTTGTTTTTGAGACAGGGTCTTGCTGTGTAGTTCACGCTGACCTTGAACTTGTAGTGATCCTCCTGTCTCAGCCTCTGAAGTATAGGCATGTGCCACCATGCCCAACTTGAAATAATTTCTTTACATAAAAAATATAAAGTTCCAAAGACTATTAAAACAAATTGAAGAATCTATTACTTACATCTTCTAACTGTAAACTAGTTTAGCGTTAATTACTAGTATTTCATCTTTTGAGATGTTTATATTTAGTAATTATACCTGAACAGCTTTAAGACACCTGAGTTATACATATTACCCTGTTCAAAGAAATGATAATGTAACCATCAGAGATTAATTTACGTGACACCATTAGTCCAATAAAAATATTTTCTTTCCAAGTGAACGAGCCTATAATGAAAAT